TACGCATAATCCCTTTTGAAACGTCGCGTTATCGAATTTCTGTATTCAACACCGTGGAATATTCCGCATGATGCATTAATGTTTTCCGCCGTTGGTGTCCGCGCTCAATGCCGTTGGATGCACGTACGTACCTCGTATATTATACCCCGTACAATCGACGGCAGATCCAACGATTCCAGGCATCGGGGATCGCGCGAGATTTCACACTACCACGGTAACACACGCGCACGATAAATTATGCGCTGTGGCTACACGTACATGTTTATGACGTTTCGGCGTAAAGTCGTTTCGGCGCAATACGCAGTTTGTACATTTGCACTATTTGACCCGTCATTACCCGCTTGCTGTTGGCCCGTTCCAATACTATTATGAATATTGAATATTTCTTATTGGAATTTTTTTTTTTTTTTTTGTTTTCCTGTCGTACACACAATTAACTACGATAATATTGTATTAAATTTAATAAAAAAAAAAAAAACGGTTTTACCGTAATCAAAATAATACGATCGTCATCATTGGCTAGTTCAAAAACAAGAACGCGACGGGAAACACCGGACAGTCGTTTGTGAATTGAGCCGACAATTTGCTTACGTGTTTATTGATTGTATAGTCAATTATTTACCCGGTTGAAATGACGGCGAAATAGTATTAACGTGTAAAATAGTGAATGTTTCAAAATTATACTTTGTCCGGCTCCGGGTGGACATGGATAACGAGAAATGGATCAATGGTTTTATACACTGCGTGTTCGGCAGTCGGATTTGTGTGTTTTTTTTTTTTTTTTAAACGGTTATGCAAATTTGGCGAAATGACTTTATTATAACGCAATCTAGCAACATTTTTTAATTGTTGTTTAGTAATCATATTATTATTATGACAGTTTTCATCGACTCACTCATATAATATAGTCGAACAGCAAACTCGATTATATTCATTATGTTTTTATGCTCTATTAATACTTTTTACACTTTGATTTTAATGACAAGTAGGGTGGTAGAAAGGAATATTCGTGATAAATGTATTAAATTATTTAATTATACATTCAATTATAGTAATTGAAAAAAAAAAAAAAGAGCCAGAATATAAATATATATACTGGATTTTATGACCCCTTAATTTGTTGCTTTGACAATTAAAAAGTCGCAAGAAAAACGAAATAATTTCGTGATGAATCGTGAGGTATTTAATTGTGTACCAGTGGTTAGGTAATTTCGTGAGTGCCTTAAAAATTCTTTACTAAGTACCTATAAAATAACGAAAAAAAAAAAAACTTTTTTATACATAGTTTTAAATAATTAAAAAAGTAAATCGAATTGCAATTGAATGGGATTGAGTAAAACATAATTTTGAGATTAAATGTAACTTCTTGGAATGTATAATTTCGTTTCAGTAGGTGATTTCGTGTGAAAAAATTGCAGATTCATATAGAGAAATGTATAATATAAGTACCACTCAAAGCAAATTCCCCGCCAGAAAAGTTGTTACGGTTGATACTTCGGGGTAAGATTTCTGGTAGAATTTTTGTACGCGGCATAAAAAAAAAAAAAATTGAAAAAAACATCATTGTAAAACCAATACATTTCCCCCGCTCCGCTGAGAATTTGAAATTCGCAATCATTTGAGGTGAAAACATTAAGTAAATGCACATCTGCCTTGTGGAATCGTATGACTTATCAACAGTCAATCAACAACAATCGCGTCATTAAATCAAGCAGGTTTTCTAGTTTCATCGTATGCGTTACGAATGATAATATACGTTTTCCTCTAAGTCGAATCCGTATTAGGCGCGTACGATTAAAACAACTGCATTAAAACGAAAACCCGATGCGCAGACTGACGGTGAACCGTCGACCGTGCGCCGTCCGACAGTAGTACCCCGGGAAACGTTTGACGCTATTCAGACGTTTACCGGCAGATAGGTGCCCGCGTTTGGGAATATCGAAGAAAATATCAGATAACGCGCCTTTATCACGGACATAACAATTCTTCGTTTTCACCCTACTTATAGAGTGCTGCACTCTATATACCATGGCCGCGCTCTGCGCCCGTTTCGCGCGGGTAGCAATACGCATAATATATATACATATATATATACGTATATATATAAAGGCGTTTTTTATTCGGCGATAGAGGGCGCGCACTGTGATTTCCACGAATTTCCGCGGACATTAAAAAGACAAGAACGTTACATTGTACCGAGCGAGCGAGTCGCCGGACCGCGTATAACGACGATTCGGCGCGCCGCGAAACAAAAAACAAAAAAAAAAAATTAAAAAGAAGCCCCCCGCGTCGATCGTTTTGAATTGTGATACACCCGGATTTGCAGTAGGCACGCGTCATCGCGTATTCCTGGCTCGGCGATGGACGCTGATTCGCTAGGCCGGTAGGTGATTAATGTCGCATAACTTTATGCCATATGTACGAGGCGAATACCCACGGCACACACACGCGAGTACGCGACGTTTATTATTTTATTTTATTTTTTTTGTCTTCCGAGTCGTCACATAAACTGTAACGAACGTCGATTTATTTTTCAAACAAAAAATCGGCTATTTATTTCGCGAGCGTATTTTTATTTTTTATCGCTTATTCGTGTGTATTGTAATAATTTTATTTTCAAACAACTCGATATTTCCGAGATTTTACTTTGTAAAACTAAAATCTCCAATACGATTATTGTTACGTATACATGGAACGTAAGTGGGTGAGCGGTAATTGTTTAAGTTTTTCCCCCCAGTAACAACAACGACAACAACAAAAACAAAAACAAAAAAGAAATTTGCGGCACTTACAATACCGTTATTGTCAGCTATGGAGTTTGATCAATCCGAAATTGTATTAAAGTGATCCGGATTAAATCCATTTAATCCGGATTGACGTATTTATTCGATCCGCAATTTGGATTGATCGATCCAATCGGAAATTCGGATTGACCGTTCCGAATAAATATTAAACACAAATTTGATCAAAATATAAAATCTGGTATTCTCGATCTAACCGAATGACGCGTGGAAAACAATTAGTAATACATTTATTATTTTTTTTTTTTATGTTTTTAATAAATGTAATAATAATAATTATAACATTTTTTATTTTATTCTTTTAATTGGGAAACGAAATGATCCATGTATCCATATTATGTAGATTACTTATGAGATTATAATATACATGAACGCCAGCCTTAACAGTTTTATACCAATTTTTTTTTTAAATTAATTGATCAATCTGAAAATTCATATTGGTCATTGTAATTATATACGGATTGTTACGGTTTTTTTTCTAATAATTCGGATTTTTGACCCGGTCCGGCACTTATACAGCTACTGTATTCATTATCGTTTCGTTAAAAATATTTTCTCCTCCCCCACCCACAAAAAAAAAAAAAAAATGATTACTTCGTAGTAACTATAATATTATACACAGAGTGTCTCACGATGATTCACCACTCGAAATAACTTGTGCTATTCAATATTTTTAATATACCTAGATATATTGTTTTAATAATTAGTATGCATTTGCACTTCAGTTAATATAATTTAATTTTTTTTTTTGGTAAAGAAATTTAAAATTTGATTACACCTAATTTAAAAAATAAATTTTAATTTTACTATAATTTAAAAAAAAAAAAAAATTAAAATTTGAAATTTTGTAAAATAAATTCTTAGACAGTTTTCAGTCGTTGAAACTTTTGTTTAGGTACGGTCTTTTATTTTCTAAAATTTATTGACGCTTTTGCAAATGTAAATGTTATCGTAGTTTATGATCTATTTGTTATAATATTTAATCAGTTGACAGGATACATTAAATGAAAAGTATTTTCTTTTCCACGAGTTATATCATACAGTAAGGGTGAGGGTGTGTTCTCCAGCACTTGATAAAAATAAAAGAAATAAATTGAAATCAAATTTACCGGTCCTGAAACCTTAAAATCCCGATAATTCGTTATATTCATTAATATAAATTCTATTATAGACCATTAATAAGAATAAACTATTACCCAACGTGTAATCATTTTACTATTGACATTTCAATTAACCGAACGGATTTGTTGAATTTTTCTCTTACATCAGTTCATAATAGAAATTATAATTATTTAAATTATCTACCATTGTGTGGTTAGTCATTTCATGTCGAGGAAGATGTCTGATGTTACAGATTAAATGAAAAAGTCGACAAGCTACAGATTATGGTTTTCTGTATTTCATCTCCGCAATGTTTCATTAATAATTATACTTGGGTAATATAAACAGGTAGGTTAAGTAAGCACCAATCCAATAAAATTACCTATACATAAATATGTGTCCCATTCAGTTCGGCCGAATCCTATGTTAAGGGGCTCGGATACTTTGCATAAAAAGTCTGTGTCGGGTACCTACATATTTGAAATTGCAAAATATATTAATGACATGCTTTAGGGGCTAGAGCGTAATTTTATCGCGGTCCACTTTTACATTTTAATAACTTAAAATTAACAAACTACTATTGAAGTTAGTAGTAGTGGTTCAAAGAGATAAACACTTACCTACTCATCACAATAATGATACGAATGCATAATAATTACATAAAAAATACATAATGTAATTCCGGGGTGGAATATTTACTGATACAAAAATATTATGAAGATATTTTTAAATTTGTTTTTCCGGTATTTTAGCATGAATTTTGTTTTTTTCTTATCGATTATCGGAAAACGCTCCGGACCCCATAGAGTAATACTACTGACTCCTCATTAAATATTTTAATAGAACACGCCTCTAGATTATAAATCACAATATAATATTCACATTTGCCAAAACTTCAACAAATTGTAGAAAATAAAAGACCATAGGTACCTAAACGAAAGTTTCAACCACTAAAAAATTGTCAGAAAATCTATTTTATAAAATGGCAATTTTGAATTATCTTTTTAAAAATCATATTAAAAGTTAATTTTTTTTTTTTTTTGATTTTAAGTTTCCACGTCGATAATTTGTTTTTAAATACACAAACCGTAGCGCAGAGCCGTAATAATTATTTTTTTAAAAAAAATGCATACATTAAACATATTGAATAGGTCGAAAATTATTTCAAGCGGCAAATCATCGTGGGGGACACGTTGCGGATACCTATAATGCACCGTTACAATAATATTATTGTGTATTGTTTCGAATACCTATTATACTCCTGAAATAGGTGTCGGTTTTTATACGGGCAGGTGTGCTCAAAGAATACTGTACAGGTTGTAATAGTTTTATAACTTATAGCGTACATCGCTTCTAAAATCGTTTGCCCAAATGTTATTTGGTCACCGCCGCCGCCGCCGCTACGAGCCTCGTTAAATACTTAGCAATTAAATATTTACATGCCATTCGTCTGATTTGTTCATAAACGACGACGACCGACCGGAGATGATATTATTATACGGTTACGGCGGCCGTATTACCGCGTGGTGGGGGGGGGGTG